AGCTATTATGAACCACAATTAGAAGCAACCATTATTATTATTGCATTTAATGGTTTTAATTGAAAGCTATAAAAGTCTTCAATAGAATTTAGAGATTACATAATATAAAAAAGACCATATAGAGAGTCATGAACATTAAATCTTTGGGTGAAGTTGACCGGGGGCGGGTCAATGCCTTTAAAAATTAGTTATTTATTTTAGGCTTTTGAATTTGAGGGTTCTGATTTTTTCTTTAGTAATAGTAAAATTATCATAAGTACTTTTTAATAAAAGAAAAATTGTATTGTGACTTTCATTTTATTTATCTTTTTTATTTCGTTTCGTAACGTTAAAAGAATGTTTTTCATTTTTATTTATTTTTATTTATTGTAGAATTCTATTATTCTATGTATGTTCATATTTATTGTAGTTTGGATTGGTTGTCTATGACAATTCATTAAGATCATATATGTTCAAATTTTGGTATTCAAACAAAATGAAAAAAACAAATATTAGTCTTAACAAAACCAACATAAGCAAATTAGTTAGATGCGTTTTGTTTCAAATTACAAGGAACACTATTACCAACTTAGATATGTAAAATGTGTGCTTAAAGTCATTTACGATTTACAATGATAACAAAAATGAAATATCTAGTATAATTTCACAAATACGATAAAAGATGCACTAATTTCACTATCTTTATTATAATATTTTTTGTGTCTTTATTGCACGGTGAAATATGTTAGCATTAAGCTCACCACCAAAGGCCCAATCTATCTTTCTAAAGAATGATGGATCCGGCCCAAATGATTTAACTTGGGCTTGAAAATTGAAACAAAAACTTAAAAGAAAAGTACAACTTTCACATATAGCAAACAAAAAATTCATATTTGTATGTTATAGCAAACTTTGCATAATTGCGCTCCATAGCAAACATAAAACTGTATAATTTGCTATACATATACAATTGTATAATTCGCTGGCCTATTTCGCAACAATTGTATAATTTGTTTTGCATACAGTTGAATCGAATTAAAATGTATGTAAATTGTATAATTCGTTGGCCTTTTTTATCTGCAATATTTGAAGTAAAATGTTTGTAAATTGTATAATTAAGTGTATAACACGAAGATATACATTTTTGCATGTGTATATACAATTTTCTCTCGCTTTATTCAAAACAGAAACAGAATTATACACTTCTGTGTTTAAAGCGAGCGAGAATGGAGAGTGGCGAGCGAGATTTTTTGAGAGAGAGACGCTGGCAATTTTTAGCGAATGTTTGCTATGGAGCACAATTAAATCAAACCCTAGCTATTCCATTAAATTTAGGTTATTAGTTTGCTATTGTATACAATTTTCCCAAAAGAAAAATTGCACTTTTATCCCTTGATTTTTAAGGTATGTATATTATTCTTCTGTAAAGGTAGTGATAATTGTCATTAATCCACCACATACATTATCAAGACAAACAAATTCATACTCCTGATTAAGATATCTTATATGATATTATGATGTAATTTTTTGTATTTGTATATATTAATTGAATTCATAAATTTTAGTAGTTTGCTTTCTTTTTTATTTTGGGAACGCGAAGTGATTCGTAATTGCTATAACTTCTATCATCGCTTCTGTTCTTCGACTGAAGACTCTGTGTTGAATACTTTGTGCGTGTTGGATAAATCCTCATTGTGTAATAGCATGAAAACAAACCACATAAAGAATGTAAACCCGCATTAGGTAGATCGTATGAGACATGCTCGACTCAGACACATTGAAGAGAGATCCATTCTGGCTCATCTGTATAGATGATCGCCCTTCAAACTAACTGAACCTAATAACCAAAAAATTACCCTTATAAAAGTCCGAAAAAAATTATGTGTGTATAATGTTGAATGCCTCTAGCAAAAATTCTACCTACTTTTTGGCTCCCTTTGCTTGGACAAAATTAATACAAGATAAAGAGAAATTGAACATAAATTATTGGTACTTTATACACCACAAATGAGGGGGCAAAAATTGGTTTTGACCCATTTCTTCTTTAACAAAAAGTAAAAGGTAATCTTCTAGGTCCTTTTTTGTTTTAGGAAAGAAAAATATTTTCTATTTTTGTTATCTAAAAAATGATATTTTATATAGTAATGAAATAAAATAAAAATAATTGTCCACTTTCTCCTGATAACAAGGATTTGCATGTGTAAGAGATCCAAGGTTGCTTCTCTCCCATAATTTTCTCAACTTGTCTCCAAATTTTATTTTATTTTTATTTAGCACCAAACACAATAACTCTCCCCATTGTATGATCCAAGAAAAAAATATATATTTATAATATTTCCATTATGTCTCCGACAAAGGCGGAGTCAAGATTTTTATCAAGGAAGTTCAACGTATAAAAAAGTCAACACTCGAATTAGATGAAGAGAATTCAATATTTATAGTATATACATAAACAATAAAATTTTCCATCGAATAAAGGATGGATGAACTCCTGATTACTAGATGATTCCGCCCTTGATGTATAATAGGATCGAGTTTTTAAAATGATTTGTTTTTGTAAGAAATATTATATTTAAAAAAAATATTTTAATACGTAAATTTAAATTAATCGAATCTCAATATAACTATCGAGAAGAGCAGACAGTGCAATAAATTCTTGAACACTTCTTAGAGTAATAAATTGGTAGCAGATTCTTCAATTTCCTTTGACTATCAATACTTTTGGTAAGGAATTTACAGTAAAATGCCACTGGTTTTTTCTCTGTAAATTTCTTAAAATGGAAAGCTTATTTTAAAATATTCATTAAGGAGTTTATTTCACTAAAATATTTTTTACTAATTATATTTTTTTCTAATAAATTAAAGGTCTAAAAAGAAGGATGTATTATTTATATCTAAATTTTACGATTTTTGTAAATGCATAATCTCATATGATAATGTTTTATTCATACAAAATACACTTTACTTTTTTCTCTTTTAAATATATCTCCTAATTGACACTTTATTTATCAAAACTATGAGGTTGAAACTGAAACAAAACAATAACTTTAATTAATAAATTTAATTTGTCAAATTAATTAATATGGTATATGGTACCAGGCACATAACTATTTACCTTTGTCTGATCCAAAAATAAATATTGTATTACATTTTTACAATGTGATGAATATAACATAGAGGTAGATCTTATCTGTCAAAAATATTTTTTAGCGATAATTCATTAATAATAATTTAATCTTATTAAATATATATTGCTAAGGCAATACAATTAATTAATATTCTATTGATAATATTTTAATTTTTTTTTTATTTTTTTAATGTATATTTATTATCGTTATAAATTATTTCTATTACGATGAGGATAGGAAGGAAGGGGGTCAACTATGTAGAGTAGTAACAATGAAAGGAGGATAAGAATTCGATCGTTTGAGTCTAAAAAAAAATGTAATGAATAATTTATTTATTTTTTAATTTGAATAAATGTGTGTTTGTATTTATTGTGTTTTAACTTATTTTATTTATGCTAATTAACTAGTGAATGGAGTAAAACATAAAATTAGAATAAGTCCACTAGAGCCATAGGAATATCAATTAATTGTTTTAAGTGTATTTGAATGCCTTATATATCCTGATATATAATAATCCTTTTGAATTTCGATATTTAAGTAGGGTTTTTTAATATACTTTTTAAATATTTTTAATTATGTATTAATTTAATAATTTTTTATATAATTTTTAAATATGTAAATTTTATTAAAATTTAAATTTTTCACGTCTAAATTCATTAAATTAAACTATTTTTCTCTTCTCCAAAGGTCAAGGGTGACATTGCATCATTTTTCTTCGATAGCTTTTTTGATTTTCCAAAGATAGCGATAATTGGGGCAAAACTCGCTTTCTTCGCTCGGTGAATAGGAGAAAAAGTTAAAAGAAACGAGATCCGAAAATGAAAAATGTCCAGAACCCAAAATCAAATTTACTTTTAAAATCTGAATTGTGACGTATATATTGAGATAAAAAGACTAACAACCATCCTAACATATTAAATTGGTAATATTGATAATGTAGAAAAAAATCATGATGATATTATTAGTGTGTATGTATAGAGATGAGCTTGAAATTTGCCATTGAATTTTCATGGTAAATTTTTTCTCGTCCTATATTTGATATTCATACATTGAAGTTTGACTAAATTTTTACATCAAAAAGTTTTACATTAAAGAATAAATTATTCCCTAACAAAAACGATTATATACCATGAATTGAACCTGAATAAAGAAATATTTATCACTCTACTATAATGATCATTGTTTCACGGTCAAAAATTTTAAGTAGAAAACATAAACTTCATAATTGTTTGGTTATAATTAGTAGGATACTATTATAAGATATGATCAATAATGTAGTGATCCCATGAATATATAAAGTAGTACACCATACAGCAAACAATTATACAATTCCAGCCCATTAAAGGGCCATTCATTCAATCACAGACAGACACAAATTATTTGATTATTATGGCAATGTACTAAATGACCAAAAATAAAAACAAATATATTATTGGGACTATGAATGGAAAAAAAAAAATCCCATCAACAATGCACATGGCTTTGTTCCCTTAGGGGACATAGACTTTGTCATAAATAATAATTCAATGACATAAATATTCATAAAACATACAAATGGATCAATAAACAAATTTAAAAAATAGAAATACAAGATACAAAGAATCTTGTTAATTGAAAAAACAAATAATAACAACCACCACAAAGAAGGGATAATTATTTAATCAAACCATTAATTTTAATTAAGTAATAAGCAAGCCAGACACAATAGAGGGTTTTAAGTTTATTGCATCATGTTCATTACAAATATTGTCCAAATTAAAGACCACTTCTTTAATTAATAACTATATACTAATTAAAATTAAAAATACAAGCACATGAAAACAACAATATATTAATCTCACAAAACCTTCAACTTCAAGCATTATCTATGGAGCTTGCACACCATCAATTGCCTTAGATCCTGCTCTTGCATTTCTCCATAGCTCTTGGTGCTGAAATTAAAAGAAAAAAGTTATTTACAATTTTGTTATTATAAAATAAAATTAAAATTATTAATTTGTTTGAAACTCGAAACAAAGAAAAAAAAAGTTTAAAATGAGAAAATTACCAAGTCCAATAGCTTCTGATCCTTTCATTATGCGTAAACGCTTGCATGAATCAACAAACATCCTGTAAGAGATCAAAAAAATAAAGAAGTCAGACTCATCATATTTAGTATGATGTAAAACCATTTCAAATCCTTTTCCAACATAAGTTAATTTTCTCACAACTATATTAATTCGTTAACACTATCGTTAACCTTACATACGTTTTTTCAGTCATCAATCAAATATCGAAATAAAAAAAATGTTGTTTATTATTTTATAAACTTACTCCCAAGGTACATCTCCAACAAGCATCCAATCTCCATCTTTATCTTCATAGGTTGGTACATATTCAGAACTGTTAAGGAGATCCATCAATTTGCTCTCATTCATAAAATCTATCATTCCTTGGGACCCATAATTTCCTGTATTAATTATAATTAAATACAAGTGGAAATTAATTAATTAAAATTAAAATATTTTTTAATAGAATAATCACACACTAACATTTATTACAATATGTAAATAAATAAAATAAAAAAAAAGCTAGGCTGTATCAACCACTAATTATGAACATGGTTCTAAGATATTAACTGTTTTTTCTTGTCATGTTTTACAAGATTTTATTCTCATTAAAATAAAATTAATTAAACTTATAGAGGTCTAGCAAGTGGACATCCACAAAAGAATATAATCTGCATGTTCTTTCTCTATTTTAATCCCTAATTATAAAAATAGAGTCTTGAAAATCTTAATATCTAATTATATCTATACACATGCTATTAGTTGTAGAATAAAGTTGTTTTCACCTAATAATTTCAAAGATTGATTATTTTCCAAAGAGTATGACTTCTCAACACTAACAACATATTACCTAAAATAACGAGTTAATTTCTTAGATAATCACTGATTAATTGATCTTATTTTGTTGACATAAAACTCATTGGTAAAATCAGATTTACTACTAAGAAAATTCATAAGTCAACATGCATATAATATAACGGTGTCAATCGACTTTCCTTCGATAGATGTGATTAGTGACTATCTCCACCATCGATAAAACTAATCTAAATACAAGATAAAGTATTTATTTTTATATTGTCAATGTATATACGATACTTACCATCAGTAAAGGAGTTAAACATCTTAGCCAAAGCATAAATATTTTTTTTTATACTATCAGTGTATATACGATACTTACCATTAGTAAAGGAGCTAAACATCTTAGCCAAAGCATCAGAAAGTTCTTGGTAACTTTTGTACATTTTCAAATCAACCTTACGTAGGTAAGGTGCACCATCCATGCAAACTTTGACAAATGCAGCAGTAGTCTTCTCACTTTCTTCAGTGTTGCTCTTTTGAGCCATTACATTCTTCCTAAATGATCTCACTGGTGGCCAACCCACAACTTGTGCCCTACCAAAAAATATAAAAACGAGTCAGAAATTTTATTAAAGAGTGTCAGACACACGTGAGTCAACTACATATGGTGTGGCCTGTCTATACATATATACACATACTAAAATTTTGACATAGCTAAATAATATAATTTTCTAGCGAAAGAGGTGTCATTTACCCCATATGTAATCTATTTAAAAATTATTATATTGAGTATACATTAATTTTAGTCAAAAGCTAGTCATAGTAACATGACAAAAATAAACACTACTGTATACGGTCATATAGGTCAGACAATTTTCTTTTATCTTTTAGAAAGATGGATTTAATTTTCTATGTAGAAAATAAACACCATAAAATATGGAAGAAGAAAAAAAAATACTAAACTTTTATATAGTAGTATATATATTTAATAGTATTTCTTTTGAGTATATTAAATATCTCACTAAGTCAAGATTTATGACGATAATATCATAATATACTAGAGTGAAAGATCTATAGTTGAGCAATTGTTAGTACCGACAATATATGTTAGCTCGAACTTAGTGTGTCGGATACTTCAAAAATATATATTTACGAAGGATCTGATACAAGCACAACAATTTTGAAAGGTTCAAATAATAAAAAGTGAAAATTAAAGAGGAACACAAAAATGTCTTTTTGAATATACTTCAATGTTTTGAATATTATCGAAACAACTAAAAATTATTTATAATTATGGAAATCGAAAACAAGCTCTCTATCTTTATGAGATAGTGCTTCTAAGACTATATATGCATAACTTTCTTCCGTGAGATTATACTGAGTATGGTATTGTTATTGCTGAAAGGAACCCAAAGAATGAAAGACAGTAAAAGGCATGTCAATTATTCATCGAATTTTGAACTATTGACTATCAGAAATTTCTCGATTATCAAAGAGATAGATAGAGAGGGAGACTTACTTGGCAGGTGGCTTGATTGGATCTTTGTTACAAACAACTTCTTTAGTAGTAGTAACACTGCTCTTCATCTTATTATTCTCCATAGCACAAGAAATATCATCACTAGCTTGATGAAAATTGAGCTTCAAATCAACAGTCTCAGAAAACCCTCTTTTCCCATTAACCTTGTTATTATTATTATTATTATCGCGAATTAATTCACCTCCGCCACCACCACCACCAGGTAGTCCCAAACACAACTCAGTTTCTTTCAAATCCATCAAAAATCAAACTCTTTTTTCTTCAATATGTAGTAGTAGTAGTACAATGCAAATATTATAGAGAGAGAGAGAGAAAAATATTGAGAGAGAAAATGCAAAAATAATATAAGTATAGTTAATAGTAACAAAAGTTTAAGGGGGAACAAAGTATATGGCTTCATGTGCATATATACCCAATGGTTTCATTTTAGCTATCAACTTCTGATGAATCACTATATGACACGTGGCAATACATGGTATGTTGATCACCTAGGGATCAAAAAGCATGTTACTAAAATAATTTAATCTTTTTAAAAAAAATAAAAAATTGGTTTTGTGGGGGATATGTAAAAATTTTATATTATGATACCCTAATGATTTGTCTATATCATATTTTATTTTTTTAGGGTGGGGTGGGGTATAAGTTATTTCAAGTGGATGGTGTTATTTTATTTTTTTAAAAAAAATGGGTAGGGAAAAAAAAAGACTTGGATGGGGAATGCCATGATTAAGGTAACAAATGGGAAATTGAATAGTGGTCCAATAAAGAGCTATGATCAATCATATTTCTCTATATAACAAAAAATAATAATATTGCAAAAAGATTAATTATAATGTAATGTATTTTCTATATCAAATATATTTGATTAAGTTTCATAAATTCATGTAGAACTTGACTTATTATGTATTGTCACTTTGCAATGACTCTATCCATGTGTTTTCATGTGTGTTCATTTTCTTTTTATGTAACTTTTTTTTTTGGCATTGTAATCATTAATAATGTACTCAAATTAAGATAAGTTTTGATTTTTTTTTCTCAATTATATCCTGATTTTGTAACATTAATAATCATGAATGATTGATGGCTAGGGAAAGCCTAATTATTTTTTCAAAAAAATTTTTTATTTTTATTATATAAAGAAATGATGTTATATCTAAGGGGGAAAAGTAGGAGTACTAACTACTAATTATTCAATAACAAATGGGATTGATAATTGAATAGTGGTCCTATAAAGGACCATAATTGATAACTTCTTGATATATATTATATAGTCGTCGAGCTATATTGTGAGATAGATCGTATTTTATTTATCAATAAGTATAAAGTATAATGATTGTTCAATTAATTCAAGTAAAAATTGACTTATTATGTATTGGTATGGGTCAAAACATTCAGATTGTGATTCTTATTCCATTTAAGATAAATTTCTTCCATAATCATTTTTATCTGACATTTTTTTGAATAAAAATTTAATAAAATCTTTCATACTTTTTATTTATTTATTACTTTTAGAATTTCAATTTTATATAAAATCATGTTGAGACCGTCGAGCCTCCACCAACGCTAAATCAACAAGTTATAAATAGTATAATCAACATGGTAAATATACTTTTAATCTTCATTTGGAGTGCAAATTCTAAAAGTGATGGACAAGTTAGTTACACAATGAATTATGAAGAGTCACTTTTACACTTAATTATAATCAAAGTTGAACTTAGGATTCTCAAAACTTCGGGTGTATTAAATATCATTTCGAAGTTAAATTTAAAATAAAAATAATAAATAACACTCTAGCTGGAGTTGAGTTCTGGTCTCGTGGATGATTCTTCTACCTTGTATCAATAACATACGAAAAATCTTATTATATTTATGAGTGCATCGTTAGTTAAATTTTTATTTTAGCCCGTTTCTCAAAACAGATACACATATATATGCATTATTTTTTTTTTAAGTTAACGATGCACATGCACCGCACCGAACAAGATGAGTTAGCCTCTGATTGTAATGAAGATTTTAGTAGAGTGATAAGCTTAGGGCCCATTTGGATGGGCTTAATAAAAGCAGCTTTAAAAAAGTATTTTAGAAAGTGCTGAAACTTATTTTTAAAATAAGCAGTTATGCATTTGGATAAAAGTGCTGAAGTTAAAAAAAAGTTGTTGATGTGTTTGGCAAATAAGTGCTGATAAACAGCTTTTTAAATCAAAATGTCTGAAATATCCTTAAAAGCTGTTAACATAATAAAAATTAGTTAATTTATATTTTACAGCCATAAATAATTATATTTTGTTATCATTCATATATTTCTTTCTCATCACAAATTATTTATAAGAGGAATATAAATTTATTATAGATCTTAAAGATATATAATTTGAATAGATCAAAGAACGATTTAAGATTTTATTTTAGTTTCATCAATAGGTAATAATAATTGTCTGTCATTTACATATTTTTTTGTTATCACAAATTATTTATAAGAGGAATATAAATTTTTATTTAAGTTGTATGTGCAACTTATTTTACATTTTAATAATATATAATTTGAATAGATCACCTGAAAGATTTAAGATTTATTTTATTTTCATTCATTAGTAATAGTAATTGTCTATCATCCACACGTGAAAAGGAAAAAATGGAAGAAAGAAATGTTAGGGTTATGAGGGTAATTTGGAGATTGTATAAAAATATTAAGGGCAAAAAGGTAAAAATGCGATCAACTTAAAACAGCTTATAAGCTTAAAAAAAACACCCATACCCCAGCTTTTAACTTTTGGCTTAAAATAAGTTTTTTTTAATTTAAAATAAGTTATTTTGAGTATTGCCAAACAGTTAAATAAGTCAAAAACCAGCTTTTAAGTCAGTTTGACCAGCTTTTAAGCTGAGCCAAACATGCTCTTAGTTCCTTCATTGATTAAAGTTTCATTTTAGAAACTCTGAAAATAAAATCGTCGATTTTATTGAAATCACTTTATCATTCAAAAAGATCTTTTTAATACAAATTTAAATTAGTCAAATTCTAAAATAAAAATCGAAACACTTAAAAGAAGAGAAAAAACTATTACTATACCTTTGTTTACCTATTTACACATCATAATGTAGTACGTGAAAATATGAACCACAACTATATGTTATATGACACATTTACAATGATTAATTCTGTCATTCACCTATCTTTTATTCCAATTTAACCCCCCAAAAAAAGAAGAAAAAAGAACAGAAAGAATCATTGCCTGACATTTAGTTTTCCACTCAATTTATTAAACTTTTTATATAAAAAATTTAGAAAACAAAGTGCACGTTACTCTCTAGACACTAGAGAGACATTATCAGAGAGGTGAAAATATTAGATATTTTATATTTATATATATATATGGGAAAAAATGTCAACTCCAAAAATATACATTAAATTAAAACAAAAGATTTTCCCCTACCTTAGAGACAGATGTGGCATTCTGTCCACCACCTCTTTCTCTCTCTAGATCATCACCATTAATGGGGTCGGTTACTTGTTGGACGAAACATTATACTATAACTTGTTGTACCATCAATTTCACCCTAAATAATATTTCTTTCCACGTTTCGTTTCGAAATAAGTGTTGTATTTATATCTTTATTTTATATAGTAAAAATAATGTAAAACATGAGATACTTTATTTATTTTATATCGCTTGATTCATATTTAATTAAACATAATTTATGTATTTTATTAAATAAACTTTATTAATAATGTTTTAAAATTCTAATTTTTGTTACTATTTTATATATTTATTTCTCAATTTTGATGGGGTTGTTCTTAGGGGAAAAACCTTAGCACATTTTTATTTGTCATGATGATAAGTTTCACCGCTGTGACATATTGTATGCTGTTTGTGGATGAAGTTCTGATTGCCAAATATATGGTGGAGTAAACACTAATTTTCTGGTTGGGTACGTAAAATTCTTAGAGTCTACAGGATTTAAGTTGATTAAAACCTACTTGAAATGAAAGTTTAGTAATGTAATGCATAAGACTTATGTGGAAGTAAGGCTTAATACATAGGTCACCTCAAAAAAAGTTTTAAATATTTTGGGTTTATTATTTAAGAAAATGAGGAGATCGATAAGGATGTTACTCATCATTTAGTACAATGTTAATGAAGTAGAGGCTTACATGTAGAGTCTTATGTAATAAGAAAGTGCCACAAAATTTAAAGGCAAGTGCTATCGAGTGGTGACTAAATTAACTATGTTATAAATGGAGCGGAATGTTGGTCAGTCAAGAACATTCTCACATTTGAAAGATGAAGTTACAAAAATGAGAACGTTATGATGGATGTGTGGAGATGAAGTTACAAAAATGAGAACGTTATGATGGATGTGTGGATATAGTAGGAGAGATCAATTAAAAGAGAGAATATCACATATAAGGTAAAGTGGCTTCGATAAATGAAAAGATGTTAGAAGCAAGACTGAAATGGTTCGGACATGCGAAGAGGAAATACATAGATATTCAAGTGTGGAGGTGTAAGAGGTTGGCTATAGATAGTTCTGGAGTGACAGAGATAAATCTAAGACAGGAGAATTTATATGATTAGACTAGACATGATGCAGTTTCACCTTACAAAAAATATAATCTTAGATATGAGGATATGAAGGCCACGAGTTGAGGTAGAAAGGTTATAAGCTAAGGTAATAGTTCTTGTCTAGCTACCCGTTTATAATAGTAGTGCTATAGTATTATTCTCGTAGAATCGTATCCTCTGTTTTATGTTACTATATGTTGATAACTTGTACCTCGATTTTATCGTATTATTTTATTGTAATTTATGTTTTATTACTGTGTTTTTTAGTTTCTTTTACTTCTATTAATATATTTTTTTCTGAATTGCTTTGAACTATTTTTTCTTGTGTCAAGAGTATATCAGGAACAACGTCTTTACTTTTAACATAGTAATAGAATATCCATACCTTTAAGATAGTAATAAAATATTCATACACTCTATACACGTATCTTCTTTTTTTTTTTCAAATCATACTTTATAGGACTACATTAAATATGTTATTATTATTATCATAGTATAATTATTTAATATTATTATTATTATGTGAATTTAGTTCCCTATCTTTTCTTCCTTTTTTTTTTCGTTGTGGGGTGGGTGGGGGTGGTGGGGGGCAAGGTGATATTCTTCTAGGAAGCTGCCGCCCTTCTTCTCTTATTACACATGCATGAATTATTCTTGCATTGCACGGATTTATTTTATAT